AATGTATGAGGGAGCTGAGACCCACAGCATTAGATACTGGATTTGTTTTATTTATTTATTTATTTAATTTATTTATTTTAAGACGAGGTTTCACCGTGTTGGTCAGGCTGGTCTTGAATTCCCGACCTCAGGTGATCTGCCTGCCTTGGCCTCCAAAGTGCTTGGATTACAGGCGTGAGCCACCATGCCCGGCCATAAACATTTGAACATTTATTTTCATTTGAGAGGGGATCTGGCTGTATCACCCAGGTTGGAGTGTAGTGCTATAATCTCAGCTCACTGCAGCCTCTGCCTCCCAGGCTCAAGTGATCCTCCCACCTCAGCTTTCCAAGTAGCTGGGACTACAGGCATGTGGTACATGCCTGGCTAATTTTTATATTTTTTGCAAACAGGGTTTCACCATGTTTCCTAGGCTGGTCTCAGACTTCTGAGCTCAAGGAATCCTCTCGCCTCAGCCTCCCAAAGTTCTGGGATTACAGGCGTGAAGCACTGGCCCAACCCTAGATTTATTTATTTATTTTTTAATGAAAGAATCAACAACCTTAGTAGGCATAGTGGTCATTTATTTCATTTTAATACTTTACAAAAATATATGCAGATAAAAATATATGCAGATAATAACATCAGTATTTTATAAAACACACCTAATTCCTTAACCTTTAGTATGTGTAGTCTTGCATAATGTTATTTCTGTTATTTAAAGATTTAGCATATTTGGGGACACTTTAAAATGTAGCATTTAGGTAACATTTGTATGAGATTTTCTTTTCTGCCACTTTTTCCATCTCATTTTTTTATGATATAGGGTGAAGCTGACACTGGAGGGCCTGGAGGAAGATGACGACGACAGGGTGTCTCCCGCTGTGCTTCACAAAATGTCCAATAGCTTGGAGATATCCTTAATAAGCGACAATGAGTTCAAATGCAGGCACTCACAACCCGAGTGTGGCTATGGCTTACAGCCCGATCGTTGGACAGAGTACAGTATACAGACAATGGAACCAGATAACCTGGAACTAATCTTTGATTTTTTTGAAGTGAGTAATTACTGCAGTGAGGGGTTTCAGAAGAATGCAGGGATAAGCTTATTTTTATGTATGTTTTGATTTTTATATTACTTATTATTTTTTTCATTTATTTGATTTTTATTTTAATCTAGTTTATGTAAAACTAACTTTTTAGAGGTAGGCTCCTCTGTACAGTTAAGCCTTAAAAACTTAGAATTGTCATCTTCAAGTACTATTAAGAACATAATTAAGAGAACTTCTGCAGTATTGGTGTTTGAAATCAAGACCAGATGTCTTGATGCCTGTCTGCTAAACAATCTAAATGTAAATCAGTTGTATCCAAAGGAGCCATCAGTGGTAAATAGAGACCCGGGCAGGTTTTGTACCTCTTGGTGGGCAACCTGATGTAACAAGGGTGATTGAGTTCTCACTATGATGGAAGCCTGTCATTTATTGAAGGTACTTTGTTAGGATTTGTTGATGGGCCTGACTTTGCAACTTGATATTGTAAATATTTAATGAAGGTAATTGTAAAGCTTGTGCCAGGTTATTCACAATCTGTGCTGCTAACTCTCTGGAGCTACATGTGATACTTAATAAACTAGTGCTTGTAGCTCACTGGCTGTTCATATTTCCCCAACACGTAATACTTGGTACATCCCCTAAGGTCCTTACTGCCATGGACCTGGCTCATGGCAGTCTGTAGTGGTTTCCTTAGCATCTAGCTCCACCTCCACACCCATTTAAATCTTGGAGGGCAGGGAACATGTCTTGACTACCAGTAGCCCCCAGCCAGCTTCTTGAGAACAACAGAATTCAGGATGGATTTTAAAAAACCTAAGTAATCTTTAGTAGTAAGATCTATGGGACTCTATTATAAAAATATGAAGTTTTGATGACTTCTTTTTCTTTTCTTTTTTTTCCTTTTCTTTTCTTTATTTGAGACATAGTCTCATTCTATCGCCCAGGCTGAAGGGCAGTGCCTCTCCTCTCCAGGAGGCAGAGGTTGCAGTGAGCCGGGATCATGCCACTGTACTCCAGCCTGGGCGACAGGGAAAGACTCTGTCTTGGGGAAAAGAAGAAAACAAAACAGAACTTTTTTGTTGTTGAGATGGGGTCTTTGTTGCCCAGGCTGGCCTTAAACTCCTGGGCTCAAGCAATCCTGCTGCCTCAATCCCTAGAAGTGCTGGCATTACAGGTATGAGCCTCCACTTCTGGCCTGAACATTTTTTTGTCGCTTCCCTTTAATAAACCTGTCTTTTAACAAACTGTTGAATTTCCTATCTTCCCTTTAATTTGGTTAGTATTTTTTGTAATAGTGTTTTATGCGTAGACTAGGCTGATAACATATCCAGTGTAATCTCAAAGTAAGTACAGTATGTGGTTTCCTAAAGAGTTGCTATCCCTGTATGACACTTGTGGAGACACATTTTAAGCGAATATGTTAAAAAAATCACTACAAATGTATCATAGTCTTACAATATAAAAGTGATTAGAAATTTTCGAGCAGTGCTCTAAATTTACCTAATGCATGTTAGATCAGTAAATTCTTTAAATCAGCAGAATTATGATTAATAAAGTAATATATAAAAATCATAATGAATTTATATTTTAAGTACTACAAAGAAAATGTAGTATTTATAGAGAAGCCATCAAGTCTCCTGAATATAAATTTGATTGTATTTCTTACCATTTCTCCCCCAGAGATTCTGTTGACTATAAGTGAATTTTTTGATCTTGAAATTGAATATATTGAACTTTTTAAGAAAAAAAAAAAAAAAAAAACCACATATACACGTATTATATATAGGAGATAAAATATGTGTGTGTGTGCATGCATGCGTGCATGTGTAATACAGAAGTTTAAAAATTGAGATTATTTTAAACCTCATTTTTTCAGGAAGATCTCAGTGAACATGTAGTACAGGGTGATGCCCTTCCTGGACATGTGGGCACAGCTTGCCTCTTATCATCCACCATTGCTGAGAGTGGGAAGAGTGCTGGAATTCTTACTCTTCCCATCATGAGCAGAAATTCCAGGAAAACAATAGGCAAAGTGAGAGGTAAGTTTGAAAACACTGGCAAATAACCTAAGATTAAGTTAGAATTTTAATTAGTTTCAAATTAAGCATTTAATAATGAAAAAAATGAAATTAATAATTTACTTTAGAATAGCACCAATTTAAGGAGCATGTCTGTTACATTTTCTAAAAGTTTTCAATCTTGCCTTTTTTTCTGTTTGAGACTGATAAAGCTGACCTGAGTGGTATTTAAATATAATTCAGCTCATAATGGCCCTTTTAATAATTTTTATTTTTGTTCCTCCCTCTTTTTTCCTATGAAAGTTGACTATATAATTATTAAGCCATTACCAGGATACAGCTGTGACATGAAATCTTCATTTTCCAAGTATTGGAAGCCAAGAATACCATTGGATGTTGGCCATCGAGGTGCAGGAAACTCTACAACAACTGCCCAGTAAGTTCAATATTTGAGTAGGATTAGCATTTGGTATAGCTCATGTTTGATAGAGTTATACTGGTTTTCTCAGCAAAGGTCAAGTGATATTTTTTTAATTTACCCGGGGAATTTAATGTCATTTGGTAATTGGAGTTACCATTTCAAAATAATTAGAGACTAACCTTAAGATTCTGGTCAGTTTTTGTAATATATTTACTGAATTGATGAGGAGGAAAACATTAACAGTAGAAAGGGAGGAAGGAAAGCTTGATGCAGAAAGCTTTGGCAGCAGCAGTGTGTCTGTGTTGTGGTCCTTACTTGTGACATGCTGCCCTCTCTGAGTTTCCACATCTATAAAATGGAAGGGTTTGAACAACATTATCCCTGGTGTTTAGCTCCAGCCATCCATGAGTCTAGAAAAGTGTAGTTAAACTCAAGGAATATTAGTTAACTTAGTTCGTAACCGAAAGATGCTCTCTCTTCTCAACAGACATTAGCTTCCAGCCTGGAATAGTTGTCTTCCCTTTCTACTTTTGTAAGTTTATTTAATTACTAGTGCTATAGCTCATACCACAGATTTTCTACTGTAAATTTTAATCCCTCCTCATTTTATTTTAAAGTGATGCTGTGGAGACCATTAGGATCTTTTAAGGTCTATAAAACAAATAACCTTTTAAGAAAGAAGCACCCTCACCTGTCCCCACCTTTTTTGGTTTGTTTGTTTGTTTTCAAGACAGAGCCTCTGTCATTCAGGCTGGAGTGCAGTGGCACATTCTTGGCTCACTGCAGCTTCGACTTCCAGAGCTCAAGCCATGCTCCCACCTCAGTTTCCCCGGTAGCTGGAACCACAGGCGTGTGCTACCATGCCCAGCTACTTTTTGGCATTTTTTTTTTTGTAGAGACCGGGTCTCACCTTGTTGCCCAGGCTGGTCTCGAACTCCTGAGCTCAAGTCATCTGCCTCTCCCTCAGCCTCCCAAAGTGCTGGGGTTACAGGTGTGAGCCACCACACCCAACCTCTCAGGCCCCATCTTAATCAAACAATACATTTTCCCACTTTCTGTTCTTGTTATTAATAGAGTTTTCAGACTTCTGTGTGTGTGTTAGTAATCTCTCATTCCCCCGCAATCTGCCAGTATTAAGTCATTTGGAGGCTGTATTGCAAGGAGCAGGTTTCTATGTCTCTATTTCTTCTGCCATTTAAAAGGATTGTTTTCCTTATTGATCACCTTGCATGTCTCCAAGAAAAAAGTCCACAGGGGAAGTATATGTTGTGTATCTATCAGTGTATCTATCAGCTTGCATTTAAGGAATGAATTCCGAATGTATGTTGTATATCTATCAGTGCTAGAGCTTGCATTTAAGGAATGAATAACTCAAGGATGAGTTTCGAGTGACAGCCACAGTCATGTTTTGGGGATGTCAAAATTGGCCTCAAAATACAAAATAAGTACCATTTACCATTGTTGAAAGTATACTTTGCAGGCCGGGCGCGGTGGCTCAAGCCTGTAATCCCAGCACTGTGGGAGGCCGAGGCGGGTGGATCACGAGGTCAAGAGATCGAGACCATCCTGGTCAACATGGTGAAACCCCGTCTCTACTAAAAATACAAAAAATTAGCTGGGCATGGTGGCGCGTGCCTGTAATCCCAGCTACTCAGGAGGCTGAGGCAGGAGAATTGCCTGAACCCAGGAGGCGGAGGTTGCGGTGAGCCGAGATTGCGCCATTGCACTCCAGCCTGGGTAACAAGAGCGAAACTCCGTCCCAAAAAAAAAAAAAAAAAAAAAAAAAAAAAAAAAAAAAAAACCCCTAAAAAAAAAAAAAAAAAAAAAAAAAAAAAGTATACTTTGCTTCTTTATTAATTTGCTTCTTTATCTTCTCTATAGTCTATGATAACTATATTTCTTCTCCTTTTCAGGCTGGCTAAAGTTCAAGAAAATACTATTGCTTCTTTAAGAAATGCTGCTAGTCATGTAAGTAACCTTCCTTTAAACAACTTCAGACTGCTGAGGTAGAAGAATTTGGATCAGGGAGTCTCCTTCAGTTTTTATTAGTAGTTGGACAGGCGAAATATCTCTTGGCATTTATATTCAGATCCATGGTGAAAATTGGGATGAAGACAATAGAACCGTAAGCACCTTTTCTTTTTTTGAGACAGGGTCTCATTCTGTTCCAGGCCTAGACTGCAGTGGTGCGAACATGGCTCACTGCAGCCTCAATGTCCTGAGCTCAGGCAGTCCTCCCACCTCAGCCTCCATAGTACTGGTACCATGCCTGGCTAATTTTTAATTTTTTTTTTTTTTCTTTTTTAGAGACAGGGTCTTGCTATGTTTCCCAGGCTGGTTTCGAACTTCTGGGCTCAAGCTATCCTCCCGCCTCAGCCTTTCTAAGTGCTGGGATTACAGGCATGATCCACTATGCCCAGCCAGCATCCTTTTTTGGGATAATAAATTTTGAGTAATTGGGACAAGAAAAAAGTTCCCACTAAGCATTGGTTTTCACTAGCTGAATAATGCTTTTTTTTTGAGATACTCACTTTGGAAAAAAATGCCTGTGGAAAGATTTGATGGGCTCGGCATGGTGGTTCACGACTGTAATCCCAGTACTTTTGGTGGCTGAGGTTGGTGGATCCCCCGAGGTTGGGAGTTCGAGACCACCCTGGCCAACATGGTGAAATCCCCATCTCTGCTAAAAATACAAAAGATTAGCTGGGCGTGGTGGCCCATGCCTGTAATCCAGCTATTTGGGAGACTAAGGCGGGGGAATTGCTTGAGTCTGGGAGGCGGAGGTTGCTGTGAGCCTAGATCACACCACTGCCCTCCGGCCTGGATGACAGAGTGAGACTCAGTCTCAAAAAAAAGAAAGATTTGATGGAGATTTTATGTAACACTTGATAAAGTGTATCAGCTGGATGTGGTGGCTCATACCTATAGTCCCACCTACTTGGGAGTCTGAGACAGGACCTTTGCTGGAGCCCAGGAGTTTGAGGTTACAGTTAGCCGTGATCTGGCTAGTGCGCACCAGCCTGGGTGACAGAGTGAGACTCTATCTATTAAAAACACAGTGTCAGCTCCCACCCTTACATAGAACTTGATTGTCTTAACTTCCTTAACTCCTTTTTTTTTTTTTTTTTAAATCCAGTTATAGAGGATTAGAGTCTGTTTTTTTAGCTTTTAGTATTTTTAGCAACTGTAACTTGGACATTTTAAATCAATAACCTGAGATTTTTCTCCCCTATTCCTCTGTATCTGTCTAGACCGCCTGACATTCCAAAGTGAAACTAGAGAAAAATGGAGGAACATCTCATAATTTCCACTTTTTCCACAGTGTTCTCCATATGCCTTCAACTTTGTTTTGTAAAAAATAGTGCAGGAAGTAAACTTGGTTAGTCAGTGTTTAGCTTTATCATTTACATGAACTAACATCTATGCCAAGGTGTGCTTTTAAAATATTAACCTCTCTGAAATTGGAATAGGTTTACAGCTTAGCTTTGAGTCATAGTTTAATTGGCAGCATATTTCCCCCTCTTAGTAGTATATAAAATAATACATTTTAAAATTCATGACATGTTGAATTGATTATAATTTGTTTTTTTTTTTTTTTTGAGACGGA